AGTAACATTCCAGTAATTATTTCAGTATTTTGGGTTTCCCAACATACTTCAGTTTTCAGCGGATAAAACACTGTGGAAAGAAAATCACCTTATTTCATTTTACCTTCAATCTGCCTATTAAACGAGATCTGTTGGCAAATTAGTTTCAAGCATTTGTTTTAAAGAAATAGAAAAATAAATAAATATCTCTAACGAATAGTACAGGGAAGATATTATTTAAAATCCTTGATCCAGTATTTGTTTGTTTGTATGTATGCCATCCATCTCCCTTATAAGGGGAAGATTAGTTAGTTAGTCCCTACAATCTTCAAAACTGAGAGGAAAAGACGGTTTTAAACTGGGACCATAAAACTCTCAACATAGGGCCAGGTGACCTTTCTCCCTTGCAGCTCTCTTACCTCTCTTTGCTTGGTGGGAAGTGAAGTTCTAAAGAGGATCAAAGAACACAGGCTGGGAGAGAAGAGGGGACATATTCCTTGCAATCTTTTTACATATGTTGGAGTGAGAAGAGAATGAGGTTGAGGCCAGAAATATTCTATAAACTTCCTACTCTAGAGTCTCTCCGCCTTAGAAAGTCCCTGACAAAAATAGACAGCAGAGAGAAACCTCTGATTCAGCATAGCTGATGACAATGACAAAGCCAGCCATACAACAAAACATCATCTGAAAATTAATCATAGCAGGAGACTCTACACCCAGCATTAACTTGAGAGGTAACCAAAAAGCATTTAGCAATCCTTACAATCTCAACTCCCACCATCCCAGATTTTTTTTTTTTTTTAATTGGGCTACAATCAACAGTTCAACTTTCTGGGAATCAAGTCTAGCTATAATTCGCAATTTGCAGTTGTTCAATTTGACACCATGATTCTGAATGGGACTGTGCCCATTTTGGGCCAATTGATATGTTTGAAATATTGAAAAACTACCATAGGCTCTGTCACAAATTAAGGCACGGAAATGCTCATTTACAGAACAATGAGTGTAGTTAGCTATAAGGCTCCCATCTCCTCAAATACCAAATTGATGGAGTTAAAAGAACAAGAACTTGAATACAACGAAGAAATGGAACTTGAGCAACAAAACACAGACATATTTTTGAACCACAGTTCCATTCCTCAATGTCCCTGGAATACCCTCCCTTCTTTTTCTTGCATTCAGGAGCAGATGCTGCTTTTCTTTTTGTCTCTCTCTCACACACACACACATACACATCCTCTTCCTCCTCCACTGGACTTTCCTCAAACCTTTTCTAATCCCTTTTATCCATCTGCGCTTCATCCTTTCATGTTTGAACAATGTCCTATCCTTATTCCCAAGCATTAGACACATCACTTTCTCTTCCCCATTCCTTTATGTCACTCTTCACCATCCACTAGTTCCTCTCGCCTCCATATCTCATCAGAGAGCTGTACTGAGATGGGTTTCTTACTTTAAGGGGGTTGGCGATAAAACTGCAGAATGAAGTGTTTTGGATCCAAAGAGTCTAGAGGCATTTATAGAAATAGGGATGGCAGGAAAGCAGAATGCTTCACTTTTAAGAATTCAAGGCAGAGCAATTCAAGACTTCTTTGCACTGGAAGATGTGGAAACCAGACTGCCTGAACCCCTAGCTTCAGTTCTAGGACTAAAATAAAGCTCTGAAACTAATTGCTCTTTTATGCACAATATGAAAAAGTTAAGTATTTTTTAAAAATGTATTTAGTTTACATGACAGTTTTGGGTTCTAAAGGACTACAGAAATATTGATATGGCAAGCAATGGAGGTATCCTGTGCTGTTTAATACTATGCATCCTAGAGAGCTTCCAAGAATCAAGATTCTGCCATTTTGGCTTATGTGTAATCATTGTTTGTGAAATAAATCACACATCTATGATGACACTCAAAACAATTCATGAAGACACTCCTAAAAATAATCACTTCATACAAACCAGCACACATCCAGTTGATGAAGTATGTCAGAATGTTCTGATTTGGGATACCTAATGATTATAAAAAGTGTAGATAAAATCTTTTTGCAAAATCTGCAAAGTCAAGTAGGGGTTGACGTGAATAACATTGTCTGCACCTGCTAATAAGCAAAAGATTGAGAAACACTTTCTGGGAGTGGAAGCAAAAAAATGCAAGACTATAGTGGGTATAAAAAGTTTACACACTCCTTATTAAAATGCCCAGTTTTTGAGATGTAAAAAAAAAAATCAAGATGATGATAAATCACTTTAGAATTTTTCCCACGTTTAATATAACATGTAAGCGGTAGAAATTGAGAAACAAACTGAAATCTTTTAAGGGAAAAAATAAAAAACTTATAATAATGTAGTTGTATAAGTGTGCACTCTCTCTTATAAGTAGAGATGTGGCTGTGTTCAGAATTAACCAATCGGATTCAAACTGATGTTAAATAGTGGTCAGTACACACCTGCCATCAATTAAAGTGAATGTGTGGAACATGAAGAGCTAGAACTCTCAGTGCAGGAAAGTGATTATAGTAGGCATTATGGAAACCTGGTAAGATGAAAATCATGAATACAATGCAAGAATTGTAGGATGTAACTTATTCAAAAGGGGCAGAACAGACTAAAGGAAAGAAGTGACATTATGGGTAAGAAAGTAACAGTACGTACTGAGATCCAGGAATTGTACACAAAGGTTCTAAAAACATCTTGGTAATACAAGGAAGGAGCATTGGAGCCAGGTGCTACAGATTGTCAAGCCTGGTAGAAAATGTAGATAACGCTCTTCTAGACTCAAGGATGACTGGCAACACGAATGGTTTAAGCCAGAAGCTGGAAGAAGCAGAACAAATTACTCTGGGAAAAGATAGGGGGAGGTTGACAGATAGGAACATCAAGACTAAAGGCTAATTTACAAAACAATGAGTCAATAAAGTATTAACAGAGATAAATTATCAGAGAGGAGAGAGACCAGGATGCATGGAGCAATTTAATTTTTTAGCAAAAAAACTAATATAAAAAAGTTTCAAAGATAGTATTGCTACCTGCTTATATTCACTCAAAAGAACCTTCAACAGATACCGTGAACTTCCTGATGTGATAAGTGAATTTGTGCAATCTGAATCATGAAAAAAACCAAATAAACGCTGTAATTTTTGATGCTCTTGACAGGGGGTTTTGCCCACAGATTTAGTTATCTCCTAACATTTATTTGGAGTTTTGCTTCCTCATTTGCCTGTGCAAGCCTCATCAGCTTTAACAAATTCAATCTTTAGTTGCTGGAAATCTCCTGGGGATTCAGAGCCTTGCTGTTTGACAACTCCCACCTCAGTATCAAAATTCAGAACTTGACAAACTGCAACGAGCAGAAAGCATTAAAATGTAAATGCAAAGCCCTTCATTACCACAGGAAAAGGCATAACAATAGGATCTAGGAGATTATACAGGTCAGTGATGTACATGAAAGAGATCTGGGTGTCTTGCTGGAGCACCAGTTAAAAAGATCCAATTGTATGAAGCATTTGCAGAAAAAAACAAATGGAACTCAGGTAGTTCTCAACTTACAACCACAACTGAGCCTAAAACTCAGGGGCTAAGTGAGACAGCTGTCATCAAGCAAGTTTCCCCCCATTTTATGACCTTTCTTGCCATAATTTTTAAGGGAAACAGTGCAGTTGTTATTCCCTACATAAAAGAGTATTTGGGAGATCCTTAGTAGACTTGCCTTTGCATAGGAGAATAAACAAGAGGATCCATAACAGTGGATTCTTGCACTTAATGGAGGGTAGAACTTCCCTAGTCCAGATTTCTCCAATTTGTTATGGCCATTTTTGAGAATTCTGGGAGTTGAACTCTATACATCTGGAAGCTGCCTATATTGCAAAGCAATGGCTTAGGTAATTGGGTTCTCTTTCCACCCTTACATTCTGCAATTCTATGGAATTCTAAATCCTTAATAAAAAGAACTCTATTCCTATTCCTATAACATATATGATTGACACCTCACCAAAAGCTAACTTAATAATTCTATCAAATATAATTGTTTTTAATTCAGATACAGTATGGGTATGTTATTAAAACAGCACTAAGAATCACTTCTATACATCCAGGTTTGTGTGTGTGTGTGTAAGTAAATGTATGCAAGAGATAAAAACAAAACATAACTAAGAAATCAAGATTATAGAATATATTCTGGTCAGGGAAATGTTTTAATAATATCCCTACAGTTACATTTATCTGTTCAGAGAAGCTTAAAAGCAAGTGCTGAGCTACACTCGCTCTAATGTAGGACATTAATTGAGTAGCTCAATGGTTCTCAACCTTTTCTTCACCACGGATCCCCTTTATACCCTTGGTAGCCCCAGACCATGGACCCCCCCCCAAACAAATCATATCAATTCTTCAAGCCTTTGTGGACCCTGTGACATCATGCCTCCCAGGGGTCCACAGGCCACAGGTTGAGAACCACTGAGGTAGCTTGAAGAAGTTCCTTCCTAACTCACTGAAGGCTTAAGATGGCATTCTACAAAAATGTAAACAAAGGCACTTTGGTGATTAAACTGACAACTAGGCAGTAGCCACTGGAAAGCTCTTCTGACTTACCTGTGGCTTGACAAAAGAGGAGGAAGGTGCTGTGAGCATTAACATGCAGGATCTGGTCACTTAGGAAAGGTGGTAGCAGCGTAACTGGAGCATGATCTGTGATAGACCAAACTTCAGACTGGGGACAGCTGGGTGAAGGGAAATCACTTCCAATACAGGACAAAGAGGTACCGGTAGGAGGAAAAGCTACAGAAGCAGAAGCTGTGGCAGAAGGGGACAGAAAAGGAAAAAGAAGAAGAAAAGGGCACTAAGGAAAAAAGTCTGCAAGAAATACTTCACATGCCAAAGGAAAAAGGAAGAAGAAAAAATAGAAAACAGAAATATAAAGGAAAGTCATGTGGATTCTGTCTTCATTCCTTTCTGTGTCCATCAAACAAGGAACCAAACATTTGTGTATTTTATTGTGATAAAATTAATCTAAGGCTCAAATAATAAAGATGGAATGCAATGAATTTCAATATTTATTCCATAATCTTTTCACATATACATAGCTAAGATAGAAAAATAAAAGCAAAATGAATCATACAAAATATAGAACTATTCACAGCAATACCATCTAAGAGAGGTTCGGGAGTTAACCCCCCCCCCAAAAAAAAACCCTTGGGAGCAAGGAGATTTCTTGCTATTCCTAACCTCCCTGTTTCTTGTAACACAAAGGAGAGACACAGAGACAGCAAAATACAAGTATTAAAACTGTACATCACAAAAGAATTTTACATACAAATAGTGCCACTGTGAACCACATTTAATGTATTTTAATCCATGAAGATATAAAACAGTTTGGGGGCAGTTTTGGTTTGTCTGTCTTGTTTCTTCACTTGCTTTTTTTCAAATGATGGAAGATGTGACAAAAGTGTGAAAACATTTGGCAAAGTTGACTACGGGTGGTGTAATCTGATTACTTTCCAACTGTGAAAAAGATTGAAAAATAAGTAGTCTCTATCACCTCTTCAGGGACATCCATCCAATGTTTGTCAAAGTCTGCATTGTAAACACACAAGGCTCTCAGAATGTCTGCAGTTTGGTGACAGTGCCTTCCCATCATCCACTTAAAAAAATCCCAAAATGTAGTTAGTGTGGCAGTGTCTAATACCTTTTTTTAAAAACCTCTTTCTAAGCTATATTTCCCCATAATCCAAAATTGAGCACTTATAGTGATTACCATAGTAGTATCTCTAAAAATAACAAAACAAAATCATTTAACCAAAACGTATCCCTGAGAACCTTATGCAAATCTATCCAGACCTGTCCCAATATACAGCATATTTTACAAAAGGTACACAAACTGTTTGAGAAAACTTAAATGCTTCTTTCATCAACTATAGTTAACAGACAAAATACAATGACGGCAGTACATTAAGCATTATAAATCACTAAATGCAAAGAAATGTCCAAAACTGGACAAAAAGCCTATAATTTACCAATCTGATAAACTAAATATTATTTCCAATTTGGAATTAAACTGAAATTAGATTTTTAACAGCAGTTAAATATATGCAAGCTGTAGCTACTTAAATCCTTTTTGGCATGGATCTGCAAAAAGAGTTAATTTTATTTTCTATGAAAACAGGAAATAAAGTAGTATGTGCAAATGTTAAATCAACCTCAAGGGGGAAACAAGTTTGAAATTTACAACTGGCCATTTAAAATAAAAATTCAACGAACAGATGAGAAAAATAAATGTGGAACAAAATGTTTTTTAGAACACAGCAGATGGTTCTTTGTTCAATCCAGGTGTGAAATGACAAAAGTATCACACATAGAACTAACAACATATAGATAGCCCTTTGCGGCCCAGTTATCACATTTAAAATGCAGTGTATTAAAAAAACCAAAACAATTTAGAACAATCAAACTTTCATCAGAAAAACTGGGACCTGTTGCCTTTAATCAGCTTCAGCATCTGAGTCAGCAAATTTCAGTTCACACTTAACATCAAAAGGTTTGTCCTTGACATCTTTGTAAGATTGCGAATGGTCCTCATCATGCTGAACGTGGCCATTGCCATAGTCTGCTTCGGTTTCATAGCCTGTGTCATGTGATGGCTTTGGATGTTCTCCACTTTGGGTCAGGAGACTGCCTGGCTCCACCAAGGTCTCTTTCACACTTTGCTCACAATCAGAAAAATCTGCCTTGGGCTTCTTTTTCCCAAGTAACATAGCAGAGCGGAACTTCAGACACTGGTCTGGTAAATATCCTTTGTAACAATTGTAGACAAACAGACTCAAGAACAGCACAAAAAAGAACAAAAAGAGAAACATCAACAGGGAACTATCATTTGATTTTAGAAACATGGTCTTTTCAGGGACCTCAAGAAGTGATTTGGAGCGTTCAATATTGGAGGCAGTGCTCGTTAACATTGGGACAAGAGGATTTGTTTCTATCCTGATTGTTGTGACTGGTACAACTGGAGTAGTTGGAATGTGAAGAGCTATCCCTTCAGTAGCAAAAGAAGCCATTCTGGATGTCCCTTTGTTACCTTCTGTTTGTGGAATAGGCTGCTTTGGGCTCAGAGTGGTATGCTGGATTTTTTTCAGTTCCAAAACATGCTTAGCCAACACTTGTGAAAACTTTTGATTCTTCACTTTTTCCTCTGACAGGCATTGATAAACACCACTGTCACCCTCAGACAAATTGAAGATGAGCAATGCTTTCTCCAGAAGACGGTACTTAGGGCTTTCCACCTTTAGCACATCATCCTTGAATTTCCAAACCACCTGTGCCAGTTTGGATTTCTTTGAACATTTTAACTCTGCAGTGCTCCCATGCCCGAAAGTGTGCTGCAGAGAATGCTCTCTGACTTTATCTGAAATAGCAAAATAAATGTGAAACCACATCAGAAATGACTTTTTGAAGAGGAGACCAATTCAGCCATGTTGGATGCTCATAATGTGAGTGCAGGTAGCTTATCACATCACACCTATGGCAGTATCCAACTGGTATCCTTCTGTTGACAGGAAGCATCAATCAGGGTAATACAATGGGGCCCTTCAAATACTAGGCGTTCGTAGACTAGTTTGGAAAATGGCACAAGGCCTGCAGACTTATATGGTATCATTCTTTATTCTGTCAATGAATGCCTCTGTCAGAAGACTTCTCAATGGATATGACCATTAGTAGTGCGACACAAGCTACAGTTACAATATAAATTATACCCAAGTTCAGCTAAACAAATATGTGTAGAACTTCTCTGCTGCTATATTTGGAAGTGGAAGGAAGCACAGGAAAAAAAGGTATGAATGATCAGATCAGATCAGAGGGAAAAAAGACTAACAAATTTAAGTTGTATAATGAGCATATCACAGTAACAAATATGATACACAGACTTAACCTAAAAACAAACGAACAGCAAATACAACAACAAATATAACACAAACTTGGAAAGATAAACTATCGCAAAAGAATTATAATCTTTGAAATTGAACCTTGTGTTTAAATACACTTGTATAGAAAAACCTGTAGCTTAAAACAGTTAATGCTTTTAAAACAACTCTTATGATTCTTGGTACTTTTGATAGATTAGTAAATATGAAATCTAAACCAGGAACAGCATCACTGGATAGACAGGCTTTCAGTGTTCAGAGCACAGCCTAATTAAGGAACGTTCATTATTTTAACAGCCAGATAATATGCCAAAAATTACTTTTATCAACTCTGACCACAAAACAGCTTAATATGCATGTACTGGAGTTGATAGGATTTTGAAAAAAGTCTGCATTGCAAAAAAATGATTTGGAGGTTTGATCAGAATTTGGAAGTAGATTACAGCTACAACAGTACCATGTAACAATAATTATCATCCCTGGACATAGAACTTTTGTTTTGGAAGGCAAGATCTCTCAAGTAATTTTTTTTTGTCAGTTTGGAGAGTCTTGCTCAGTGGACGAGGGACAAGAATCTAAAACCTAAAAAATACCCTCTTAATTAGGATAACTAAATAAGAACACTGAAGCCATACTGGATGAAAAGTCTACTGTATGCATTGATCCATATGTAGGCAGATTCACATAAAGCCTTTGTGTAAGGCTATTGTTTGGTATTTCTCAGAGTTTCCATTTATAAGACCCCATGGCTTCCTGTGAGGCCTATTTCTTGTTTGTGCAATTGGGCAATTCCATAATGGACTTGGTTGTGAATCCAGAGATGATCAGTCGCATTTCTTCAAGATTTTTAAGGATAGTTACAGAATAAAAAATGGAATATGTTAAAAATATAAGCAATGGGATAACAATCTATATATTATATGCAAATAGAAAATATTGCCTTTAGTAATTATAAATATAGGTATCAAACATTTATTCTGTGTTATTGTTCAATTATTTATGAAAACCAAAGCTTACCTGAACAAGAAGAGGCATCTCCAGTTATATTCTGAATCCAATCCCTAAAAACAACATATAGTATGACATAAAATAAATTGTCATATTCCATATTTATAGCCCTACTACAAAATCATCAGAACTTTTTAAAGTTACACAAATGTACCACTAATTATAGCTAATAATATTCAAATAAATATTGACGTAGGGTAGAAGCATGTTTGCAGAGGGTTATGCTGCTTTTTGATAAACAGTTGCTCCCTGTACTAACAAATTAATGAAGTTATCATGCTACTGATAACTTGTCTGTTATGGTGATAGTGACATAAGTAACTGGATGAGTTACGCACTATGATTTATCAATGAAGGAAAATGTTGTGCTCTGCTTACTATTTTCAACCACTAGCCTTTGGTTTTCTTAGCATTCCTGCCAAAAATCTGTCGTCACTTAATCCTGGGATCTATTATCCGCCTTCACAGAAAGGGGAGATCTGTAGGCTGCCTTCCAACACATGGAAGAGTCTCCATGCACCAGTGTGACATTAAGCACAGAAAAGCAAACAGGAAAAGATATAACATTTGAAGCCAATGTGAGTATGTGTCTGTGTACAATCCTTTGATTTGTCAATCTGGTTTGAAATAATTCTTCTCGGCAAATCAGGACAATCCATAATAAACAAAAAAATATATCCCTTTTCGGGGAGGGGAGGGGAGCAAATGACCAAGGCAAAATAAGACAGGAGTGTCTAGGATAGACAAAATGGCTGATACCTTGCCATTTTCATAACTTCCTTATTCTCCATTTACACTAGGCACAAACAGGTGATCCCAATTTAAAGTAAGAAACTGTTTTTTTCTCCTAAAAATATTGTAAACAATAATTAGGTAGATAATATGCCTTACAGTACTGCTATGAAATGCAAATAAATATGAAAGTTCCAGTTGGTTTGGAAAGAACAGTAAGGCAGGTTAGTGTAGTCTGTAATTGAAAAGTTGGGAGACTGATCTAAGAGATGTGTTCTGATTCATGCAATTTGTTCTTACAACTTAACTTCTGCTTTTGCTTGAAAATAGATATGTAAAAGGGCCAGAACACAACAATCAAAGCTGGGATGATAAAATAATTACAGTATTTAGACAGAAACAATCCTAGTTTCTTTTTTCTTGCCTTCACCCTTCTTCTCTGATACAATTAAAAGTTGTATTTTTCATTTGCCAAATCATCCAATTCTGGCACTCTGATTAATCTGAAATAGGGTTTATTCAAAAGCATGGTTTATGAAGCTGTCTGATTTCCATAAACTATAGTTTAATTTAATCACATATTAGAATTTAGATACAATACTAAAACATTACTAAAATCAGAAAGTGAGTATTTCCAATGTTTTGTACAGAGAAAAACAAACAAATGCACCCAGGGGAGCATAACTGGAATTATGTCTAAACCACGAGTGCCTGGGCTGCACTGAGTGAAGAATTGTCTTGGGCCACATACAAAATATATAATTTTATATAAGTTTGTATAAATAACAAATGTCCTTTATTATTTTGTGGGTCCTGTCCAGAACTGCCTGCAGCGTGTAGACTACGGATTGGACACACCCAAGCTAAACTAATCATGTCCTGATTTCACAAAGCAAAATATTCAAGATATTTTTTACTTTGCATTTTACATATTCTGCATTATATTTGATAGTTTGGTTTAGAATTAAGTTCTGTTAAGTTGCATATATTTTATGAAAATCACATATGAAAATCCCTATGAATCTTCAGTTCATATTATTTGTTCTACAGTTGTTCTACAAACAAGTTAAAGTTGCAATTTATATTATAGTTCTTTAATTATGAGTAAGATCCACTGAGATCAGCTGGATCTAATTCTTCTAAGTAAACATACACAAAACTATTAAGTGTTCTGATCCCACTGTTCACTGGAAAGTTGTTGAGTTTTTTCTTTTCTAAAGTGTTTTTCAGAGATCTTGTCTCTTTTAACCCATCCCTACTACTTTTCAGATTTCACTAACTATCCATTTGCTTAAAGTTCTTTTGACAGAGGAAGTAGAAGGAATTAGAACAAGAAATAAAAAAAACCAGGACTCTCAAGGATGTTGCATTTTGTGCAATATGGATGCTTGGAACTGCTCATTGAATGACATTTTCTTTATTAGTTGATCCACATAAATACATTTGATCTACATTGTAATATATAATGTAGATGCATCTCAGTACATTTACCTGTTATTCTCACTTTCTTTGAAGATATCAGTACAAACGGATTTATGGGAATTCCAACCACAGTATGGATCTCTTGCCAGGACACAGTCCACACAAGTACTATACTTCTCACAAAATGCAACAGGTGACTGGACTACTCCTGTATTGGATCCTGCATAGAGGTATTGCTTTCCCTGCAGAAAATACAAAGGCAGTTGATAGAAGAGGGCATATTTCTCTTCCCACCTCCAGCAAGAAAGAAGCTTCGTAAAAGATTGAGCTATAGTATTTCTCAAAAGAAAAATGTGCGGTGTAACCCAAGGTATACAACTATTGTTAAAACTAACAATATTGGGCTATTATGGGGCTAAACTGTTTAACACAACTTCCAATCTGTACTGATTCCAAGGAGCTTCATTTAATATAATAAATTGTGCATTTTTTTTTTTTTACTGTAAATGGGAGAAGTAATAGAAGAACCAAACATCTATGGTGTCTTCTGGACAGAGTGTTAAGACAACTATAGACCTTACTATATATTCCTACAGCTGTTGATGCTGCAACATTCTTTTCTCCATTAAAGAGATGATTGGGACTTTAATATAAGCTCCCAAGAGCTTATATTAAAAGAGATAGTTTATCATTATTTTATGATATATATCACTTGGTTTAAAAGCAGTAGATAGATAAACAATGGGAATGAGCTTGTAACATACTCTGCAGGCAGGACTCATCCATAATGCCTTCTAAGTCATCATGCGGTTTGCTTATTTATGGCTTGGTTGTTGTGTAACCTCAATCATAGTGGTTTGCCAATCGTAGATTACGGCAGGAGTTGACAATCTTTTTTTGAGTTATGAATGCAGTTGGTGAATGGTGGTCACAGATGGGGACCAATTCTTTTTTTGGTGCCGAGTAACCTCTGGGAAGCCCAACACACTTTCACTCTTAAGCCCACTTCCCAATCAACTTGCTGCTTAAATTCAGTAGCAAATTTGTCACATTAAGGTAGCTTGATTTCAAAGATTTGGAGGTAAGGATGGAAATGGGAGGGTCTGTCTGTTCTCATTGCTAGCATTATTTTTGCAAAACAAAATAAGAAAAATTCACATTGCTTAAATTTGCCACTGAAGATGTCAACTGGTTTATTCAACAAAGTATGATAAATTGTGGCTCAGTACTATGTGGGGACACAGGAAACTGAATGTGTCAGATTATTTGTTATTTGTCCATCTTGCTCAGTAAATCTGCACCCTCTGACATTAGTTCTCCAGGCAGAAGATAAGACTTTTCACTCCTCATGCAAATACAGGCTTATCTCTGAATGATTACATCCCTTCCTGCCTATAGTCCCAAATCCAAAAGCTATACAGGTAATCCTCAATTTAGGACTGCAACTGGGAAGGGATGCAGTTGTACATGTGTAACTACACTGCTTAGCAACTGCAATCCTGCATTCACTGTTGCCATCATTAAGTGACACTTCCTGCTGCTTCCCAACAACAAAGTCAATGGGGGAAGCCAACAGGAAGTTACAAGTGCCAGGTGGATTACAAGTAGGCTGGCAGGTGGGTTATGTGGCTATTGCTGGGTCGGAAAGGGTGAGGAAGTGGCAGAGGAAGTGTGGCGTGAGCAGAGCTACTGCTGCATGGGAGAGGATGTGTGAGTGGTGGAGTAGGTGAGGCACAAGAGTAGCAGGTGCTACTGGGTAGGAGAAAATGCATGTGTGGCTGGGAAGGTATGGGTGCAGCAATGCTCAGGAAAGGTGCATGAGGGTACGCAAGTGGCTGGTGATGCATGGCACTAGCACAGAGAGGCGGGGGAAGGGTGCATGTGTGAGGGAGATTAACCAAAGTAATTTGGTGTCCTTCCCTGTCAGCTTCCCCATTGGCTTTGCTTGTAGGAAGATGGCAGGGAAGATCACAAATTATGATCACATAATTATGAGATGCTGCAAGCATCAGTGTGAGCCAGTTGCCAAGCACCCAGATTGCAATCACATGACCCTGAAAGAGCTGGGATGGCTGGAATATCGAAGTGGTCGAAACCACCACTCACTGTAACTTTGGTCACTGAACAAGTGCTTGTTAACTGAAGACTGTCTGTAGTCTCCGAAAGGTTGCATGAATACAAACAATTACAACTGGATGCTTCCAGATTAAAAGTGAGCATATCAACCGTCTATTTGGGTTTTTGAGTCTTGTACGTATTTAGAGCTACTCACCATCTAGGGATCTGAATCAGTCTTGCAGTTTAACAGACAATCAAGTTCCCTGCCATCATCTCTGAATTCAGCAGCTGATTTTTCCCCATCTTTACATATTGCAAGCTTTGATTCTCCCAGGCCTTGTCTTTTTTTTCAGGATTACTACAATTTCTTGACCTTACCTTTTTCGAAGAAAGCAAGAGAGTCTGAATAGAATCAAAATTTGGGAAGAGCTGAACTTCTTCAATAATATGCATTCCATTTTCATAGCTGATTGCTTTGTGAAGAGCACCTTGATCTGAAATGAAAGAAAGCAATCTTTTTGGTACCCGTGTAAAAATAAACACACTTTGGAGTCTACAGATTCCTTCTTCACAAGAGATATCAAAACCTTTCAGCTCTCTCTGCTTTTTCAATATTTTACATATTGCTTTTTACTATATAACTGCCTACTTCAGCAGTCTCACCTCTGATCTAATTTTTGCCTCATCTTTTATCTCCATTCTGTTGATTTTAGTTTTAGGTAAACTGCAGAGATTTATGTATGCAGCTCTTGAAAAGTAGAATGAATTACATAACATACCCCACCTTATCCAAATAAACATGCAATATACAGGTAGTCCTTGACTTATGACCACAATTGAGGCAAAAATTTCTGTTGCTAAGTGAGATAATTGTTGAGTGACTTTTGTCCCATTTTATTACCTTTTTTGCCACAGTTGTTAAGCAAATCATTGCAGTTGTTAAGTTAGTAACATGGTTAAGTGAATCTGGGTTCAACATTGACTTTGCTTGTCAGAAGATCACAAATTGATCACATGACCTTGGGACACTGCAACCATCATAAATATCAGTTGCCAACCCTCTGAATTTTGATCACATGACCATGGGGATGATGCAACAGTAATAAGTGTGAAAAACGTTCATAAATCACTTTTTTCAGTGTAATTGTAATTTTGAATGGTCACTAAGCAAACTGTTGTAAGTTAGGAACTATCTGTAGTATCAGCAGCTACTGCATTTCCCAGAAACGCTCAGAGAAAGATAAAATTTTATCCAGTGATAGAAAGCTGACAATGATACAACCAGGATATTTTGTAATAATTCCCAGACTGAAAATATAATCTGTCTTTTACTTAATTGATGAATTTCAGTTAAGCACTTCAAAGACACAAAGGAGAACTCCTGAAGATGTATACAGGTAGTCCTTGATTTATGGCCACAATGGAGGCTGGGATTTAAGTCTCAGGTTGGTGGGGTCATAAGTCAAGGCACCACCTGAAAGGACTTGATTTTACAGCCATTTTTACAACGATTGAAAGTGAATAATCATGGTCATTAAGCGAGTCACATAGTCACTAAGAGAACCATGTGTTTATTAATTGAATCCAGCACACCCAATGTGCATTTTTTGCTATTTTCTATTGGAAAATGGCAAAAAAAGTCATACATTGTAGTCACACGGATATGGAATACTGCAATCAACTGAAAAATTAAGCTGGTTGCCAGGTGTCTGAAATGTGATCACATGACCAGGAGCGTAGTTGTAATTTCAAGGACTGAGTTGTAAGTAATTTTTTAAAAAACCCTAGCGACTTTTAATGGTCGTTAAACAAGTAAGTCATAAGAGGACTATGCAAGGAAGCACTTTTAATTAATTCTGGGCCCACTTTTCCCCCACTTTCAGTACCCTGAAATTCACAACACAACACTGGATTGATCTATTCAACTTCACTGAAAAACTACCTCATCTCAATACGATGTGGTCTTAAAACCATGGAAAACTCACCTGTACCAAGAAACATGACATCATATAACGTGCCATTCAATGCATGAACTTGGTCCACCACAATCTGGGTGTACTTCACATCACGCTTGATCAATCTGGGTCTGTCTCCTATTGGAGTCACAGAATCATCCATCAAAGGATGGTCTTTGACAAACTGTAAGGTTTTGTCAGGTAAGTTGAGTGTACTCTTGAAATTTTCTGCTTTGGCCTCCTTGTTTATACACTGTTCCATGAAAAATAAACAAAATAGACACACAGTATGATTAATGAACACTTAAAAAGGAATAATACAGGTAGTCCTTGACTTACAATAGTTCATTTAGTGACTGTTCAAAGTTACAATGGCACTGAAAAAAGGTGACTTATGATCGCTTTTCAGTTACAACCTTTGCAGCATCCCCATAATCATGTGATCAAAATTCAGTTGCTTGGCAATTGGTTCATATTTATGACCATTGCTGTGTCCCAAGATCAAGTGATCCCCTTTTGTGACATTCTGACAAGCAACATCAATGGGGCAACCAGATTCACTTAACAACTGAGTTACTAACTTATCAACTGCAGTGATTCACTTAACAACTGTGGCAATAAAGGTCTTAAAATGGGGCAAAACTCACTTAACAACTGTCTCACTTAACAACAGAAATTTTGGCCTCCATTATGGTCGTACATCAAGGACTACCTGTTTCAAACATTATCTAGCTGTATAAAGTAATTTCTGTATTTTTTCAAGAGGTAAAACTCAAGACTTTTCTAAGCTGGATGAAATTAACCTCAACAATGGGGAAATCTTCTCATAAGCCTTTTAATTCTTTTAAAAGATATTCTTTGGAAATGAAATAGCACATTAGGAATCTTGAAGTTATTATAGCAATAGCATTTAAACTTATATACCGCCCCACAGTGCTATACAGCACTCTCTGTGTGGTTTACAAATGTCAGCACGTTGCCCCCAACAATCTGGGTCATGGAAGGCTAAGTCAACCTTAAGCTCATCAGTATCGAACTACAGACTGTGCACAGACTTTGCTTGCAATACTGCATCCTAACCACTATGCCACCAGAGCTCTTATAATGTATGGTCAACAATAAAAATGGAATCTATCATGCTTTTAATAATTTGCATTGTTTTCTTTTGTAATGTATGCCACATAGAGTTACGTCATCTGAGTTGGACAGTTATATAAATGTTCTAAACAAGTCAAATAGATAATAAGCATTTTTCTTCCTCAATTTTATCACCAAAGTTATTTTCCAAATATGGCTAGTTATTAACATCAGATAAGCAAACCTAAAATATACATTATAATAATCTTAAACTAGCTAAATTGAGGGATCCTTGTGCTTTGTGAGCTTGATTGTTTTCTTGTAGACCAGGGTTGTCAAACTGCCGGCCCGTGGGCTGGTTGCATCATATGGAGGCCACGCCCAACCCAGCAATGCAAAAAAAGTCATGATATATCGCGACACATCACGTGATGCGTTGAGTTCGACATCCATGTTGTAGACATTTCATTACCCGAACTAGGGAACGTCATCAATGCTGGATTGAAAACAACCAAGCTCAATGAGCACTAAGGACCCCTCATTTCAACCCTGAGCTACAATGTTCTTCTTTATTGGTACTAGCTAAATTTTCCTTAATTAAGCCAAAGGGGCAAAAGGATATCCCTATCAATTAAGACTAACTTAATAGATGTTTAGAACCATCAGTGAGATTCCAGTGTTAAGACCAAGACTATGGCTCTCTTAAAATCCTCCCCTGTGGTCTTCAAAGATACAATTTAGCACTTATCAATGATGTTATTCCTGCTGTTTAAATAAAGAATGAAATTGAAACAGCCCGTTTGGTTTTATCCAACTTGTCAAGAGGTGTTAAGAAATAACTCACTCAGACTGGGGCTACTATTGTTTGGGGATTATCACTATTAAAACCAGACGCCATCACAAGTACATCTAACATTGAATAAAAACTGTCCTTACGATTGTTTTTTAGAAATCAAGATAAGGGAACAGTAACCAGTTTATATATCCAGAACTTACTGCTCCAGGCCGTGGCTTAGGAATCTCTCCATTGTATCGCAACCATTTTGTATGGGATTGTTCAACTGTGGTGCTTTGCATGTACTTTCCTTTGGCAAAAACATCTTCCACTGTAGAAATATTGTAGGCACACACTGCTGAGAGACCTACATTATTCCTTTTAAAAAAAAAAGGAAACTTATTCAACTTTTTACACTCCTAGGGTAACAAATGGGGCTCTAAAACAAAAAGCTATTACTTACAACTGAGGAGTAAAAACCCCATAAATCACTGGTTCTTTTAAATTTGAAGTCTTTAGAATAAAAATATCGTTGACAATGTTGAAAAATAAATTTTTCTCTGGGACTGAACAAAACAACCGAGCCTTGAGGTAGGTAGTCCATTTTTTTTGTAAAGTTCGATGGCCTCCTTGGTCCCCCTTGGGGAAAAAAAAAGTATTTTCACTGTCTAAGAACATTTTTTTTATAATAGTTTTGCATTGTTACAGCATGAGTAGATACAGAATATGAAATTCTGCCAGGCCACTTTTACATTTTAAAGCACACTGAGGAAAGGTTCCAACCTTAAAATATCCATATCCAAACTTAACTAGAAATGTTCTGATCACAAAATGGACATTTCAGCTACAATATGGAGGTCTAAAGGGTCTGTTTGGAGGTTAAAACAATTCTGGAGCATGTCTTCTCCAAACTTTCAACGTGATATTAATCATCAGAATGGCAGATTTCAGAACTGAAATGTTTTTTTCCCAAGTTTTTTTATTAATTTTCCAATATTACATTTACATATTTGAAAAGTAGCGTGGCGGTTGAGCACCGTAATTCCATTACATTTGAATATCATCAGTACAAATCTCAAAGTATTACAACAACTAATTCCCTCTCTTTCCCCCATAAAATCTACTGTCATATTCAGATCAATACAGTTCTTATTCTATCAATCAAACAAAAAATACCTTTCTAGTATTCATCAATAATCTTCAGTCTATACATATCTCAATTAATTTGACATTCCATCTTTTAGACAATAACCTAATAAGTTTTTCTTAACTTTAATTTCGCATTGATATTTAAATTTAACATTTAATCTTTATCATTTCCAGATTTTAAATGATCCCAACTTCTCAGAACTGAAATGTTTTGACTTCAGAACATATTGTATACACACAGACACACACACACCACCACAAAACTTTTCAAATAAATGAGTAAGACCCTGTAGGCAGTCTCTGCTTTCACATCATTATATATTAATAAAGGCCACTCAGGGTCTCTATAATGTTAATGGTTTGAGGGCTGCTGTGATAAATACAGCTTTTTCCCACACCACAAACAACTTTGGCATTAGGAAGAATTGTATCTTCTCCCTGTGAAACTAAACTGGGGAGCAGTTGAAAATGTTTCTGTTTCCCTCTGCCTTTGTGGCACAGGAAGAATTGTGCTCCTGCACTGCTAAGTAATAGGAAGCCTCAACCTCCAAATAATGAATTTTAAGTCAGAGTTTCTAAAGGAGAAATGTGTAACCCTGAAAGAACTAAAATTTAAAACATCCCTGGTCTCCAGCCTTTGCTGTGACCGCACTTTTTCAAAAAGTAGACATCTTTTTATAAGTACCACCAGCAATGCAGAAAGGTATGCTTATTTTTGTGCATGTTATGTGTGTGCCTTCAATTTATTATTGGCTCCTGACAACTGCTTCTACTAGTCCCTGCAGTTTTCTGGCAAGATTTCAAAAGTAGTTTGCCATTACCTCCTTCCTAGGGCTGAGAAAGAGCAACTGGTAAAAGGTCATCGGCTTTTCTGCCTAAAACAGGGCTAGAATTCATAGTCTCTCAGATTCTAGCCTGGTGCCTTAACCACTACATCAGGCTTGCTCTAATATTTCCCTACCCCCTTCCATATAATTCCATGTAAAAAAATGGGAATCCAGATCATATATTAGTTGTGCTACCACTTCAAAGTAATGACAAGCTGTCATTGGGTAAAGAACCATCACTGCCACACCAAAGTGCATTTGGTAAAACTGCTGGGATTTCACAAATCTTGCAGGCTTCATCAGCTTATATTGCTTAATTACATGTTGCAAATTAAAAGCAGAGCCTAATATTTTACAAACTCCCGCACCCTTCCACCCACAATAAACATACAAGACGACAAAGCATTAAATGTTCTTGGGGGTGGGGAATCACATTGTTTCATGGTAAATAGATTCCCAATAAAAGGAACTTTTTTTTTACTGCACTCACATAGAGTGGTTATCAGCAATTTTCTCTTGGCACAGAAGGACACATTACAGTCAAACAAGTTTGATGTCCTATTTCCCAATTCCCTCAGGCTGACAATGACCAATAAGCATATATATATAAGGAGAGAAAATCATAAAAATCCTTGGTTTTTCAGGATACCATACTAAGCCTTTGGTCTTTTTTTTCCTCCCAATTTTCAGACATTTAGCAATTTTAGTAAGCAATTCTGTTACCTCAGCAAAAAAAACCCCTCATCAATAATTATCAATTGTTGAAAATAACGTTTCCCAAGAAGAACTATATAAGATGCCTATTATGGCCTTCAAGATGATGATGAAGAATGTCTTGAAATCCCTCGCTTTAGGCTATGCTGGCTGGGACTGCCAGGAGTTAACAACATTTGGCAAGCCATGAAAATTATGGCTGTCTACAAACAGTCCAGTTTAATGTTATAGTGCTCTGTTGGAAGTACAGCAGATCTAATTTAAAGAATGGCAAGTTTGGCTCCTAAGCAGAAAGGACAAATAAACTAACACTGTTGCCCTTGGGGATAGACTGGAAAGAAGAGGCATGTCTGGACTGACAAAACAAATTTTTGTTTCAACTTCCTCCATCCCAGAAAGAAATAGAAAATGTTTTTACTATGACCCACCTTACAAACCCTAGCTATCCTTGGAATCATCAGTTTGTTAAGGAATTCATATTCCACTGATACCTCAGTGAAAAAGAAGTACACTTTGTCATCATCTTCATCAGGGCTTTCTGGATCAGCTCTTATCACATCAGCAAAAATAAAACTTGGTTCTATATAAAGGAAATATAAACAAAATTGACTACCATTTTAATTATTCTCCTGTGGCCCCCATTTCTGTAACGGTTCACTGGATATTTTTTATTATTTCCGTCTTTCAAAAACCTAACAGGAAAAGCTTTGAGACACCACAAACTCTCGCCATGGATTAAACTCAGAGATCAAGATTTACATATGCATGATTGAATTATTGATTCCAATCTAAATTCCTTGTTTCTCAAAATAAGTTGCAAATACATACATAGCTCCCAAAACACAATGACTGTTTTGATAAAACAGCATTGGATGCAACCCAATGGAATATTCTATGGGGCAATGAGTTGCAAAAACAGTATGTAAATAACAAGTTGAGCAAGTTACTTTCCTTGCTGTTTACAGGTTGAAAGGTCTCCAGGTCATTTATAATCAAAGCCAAATTGCCTAAATCAAAACCAGAATTTATCCCAAGAGTCTAAATACTGAAATCATACTTGGAATTTTGGCATCTCTTTCAAACATAGATGGAAAATTCAGAAAAAAGGGTTATTTTCTGCAGCTATAGGTTTGAAAGAAAGTTTTTTTAAAGAAAAAAATAGGAAAACATCTACATGAGATAAAATTTGATAGTTTATTGAAGAACATTTTAGTGTAGTTTTTTTTTTTTTTTTTGATTCAGGGCCATTTTTTGTATTTATCTAGGATCAAACCCCCTCTAAATTTCCTTACCATTAAGCCAAGGAATTGCATATTCTGTCCTTAGTGGATTTTGCAGTGAGTTCCTAGAAATAATAGGTTCACTTCCTAAAAAATTGTAAGATGTTGCAGAGTAAAGATCCCCATCTGTAGAACAACAAAACAGAATAAAAATAAATATATTTCGCTTGAAACATTATATCACATGCTAAAATACTATTTTGCTTTCCCATCCTGATTAAAATTGTAGAAAGCTTAAACCGCTTTCTTTCTACCCGTCAAATCCCTAAATACCATTTCTCTATTTTTTTTAAAAAAAAAACATTTATTTTGTATTGCTTTTAAAATAATGACAGAGAAATGGAAGAAACTCACAAAAGATAAAAAAAACATGCATTGTTAAAGAAAAGGGGGAAAAAGTATGAAAAAATGAACAAAAGAAAAATAAAACAGTGCAATCTTTTAAATGTAAATAGTTACAATTCTATATGTAGTTATTTAATGCAAATATTATTCCACTACATATTTATTTCTAATGTACCTCTTTTCTATTCTTATATAAACTTTGCATTTGTTGTTGAGTTCTTTGGTGTATAAGTAGAAGACTTTAAAAAATCTTCTCTCATGAAGAGACAGAGAGATTTTAAAAAATTATGAGGAAAGCAAAATTTAATAACAATTATTTATGCCAATTGCCTTTTCTAAATCAGAAAAAATCAGTTCTAAAAAAATAGCTCGAAAGAAACTTGAGTACTACTGCTAAACAAACATGTATATCTTCTTGATTTTGTTTAAAGAATAACATTGTTGAAATTGTATACTTACCAACCATGACTGATGTATAACTTTGTGCAGGATCAAATGGGCATCTTCCTTTACCATCTTCATTTCTCCCCATAAGCTTAAATGTTGCCAGATTCTACAAAACAATTTAATTTTTGTTATTTTCCATAACAAATATAACATTTCATTTTTGGGTCAGACACTGCCCAAAAGTATGCTCTCATGATTATTCAATTTATTCAAATATTTTTATTCCTGCTAAAGGTAATTCAAAGTGGCAAACAACAAAAACAAAATAAATAAAATATCAATGGGATTGGAGATACACAAAGACCAAACTCATGTAATCATTTTTGAAATCATCTGCTGAAATATTCATAACTGTTTCAACTCATTCCAGACTTCAGTCTATTATCTCATGGTGACTATCCCAAGACTTAATTTAAATAACAAATGAGATATTATCTTAGATGCTACAATAATATGGTTTCTTCCCTATGCTATCATCTCAACATAAAAGAAATAAATTTAAAATTATTAAGAAAATCAGCTTTTGATATCTTAAATAAACCATTTTTAAAATTACAGAATAGCTGTAATTATTTTAATGAAACTAAAAGGCCTATACTTAAAAAAGGAACAAAATCCAGAACTGTTTAACTTTAGCAGGTTGTACATATTTGCACTGTATGAAATCATTGGATCTTATCAACCCTGTTATATTAATGAACAAATGAACCAAAATCAAAATTATGAGTGTGCTCTGAATGATAAAGTATTTGCTTTTGAAATAATTTAGCACTGTTACTTTCCATTACATATACAGGAATATGTGTAAGGAGACTGTTTCAAACAAACCACAAGGCTCAGCTCAGTTGTCTGGCGAAGACCTGGAATTGAATGACATCTCTGCCTCTTCTTCATTCCCATTCTATCTTTTCCCTATATACGAAGGGCAGAATGGGATAACTTGCCACAGCTAACTCACCATGGCCAATTTGCCAAGACCAACTTGCTGTGGCCAGCTCGCTATGGGAGAATTCAACAATTCAGTTTAATTATTTAAAATAATTAAAAGAATATTTTAATTTTTGTCATTCACATTTCATTTTCTCCCTTCTTTGGCTTCCCTTTTTTAAATAATTCTATTCCACTGTTTCTTCAATATTAGTGCAATACTTGTCCTGCGGTGAGTTTTCCAGCTGTGAGTTGACCATGGCCAGTTGTCCCGCAGCAAGTTGGCTGTGGTGAAAGAATGCTGCTGCAAAGCACCTATTCTCTGTTAATGTTTTTCTGCACTGTGTGGAATTCTGGACCCATAAGACTATAAAGAAACTCCATTGGTTCTGGACAATATTTGCTGTAAACAGTTGCTCTCTATTTGTGGATGGTGATCAAACAGAGGATCACCTCTATTTGAGAATGCTCATGTCTGCCCTGTTTTCACAATGTGTAAGAATCTATAATTATCTGCAATCAACAAAGGGTTGAGTCTTCATTTAGAAGCGAAATGAAGGAAAGGTTGCAGTTAGAATAAAATTAAGAATGACAAGAGAGGATGTGAGCAAAAATTCAGGAAAGAGTAATATGGACAACTGAAATATGCAATAGAAATAAAGTTGATATGCTATGGAGACTATTGATTATATTCATTCATGTCTCAGGTAGACATATGCAAAACTCTTTTGTAGGAAGCCTTTATTACCATAACTTTGTTTCCATCCAAATCAGAAAATTAAGTAGCAATTTGAAACAAATACAGTTTATAACTATTTTGACCTTCTGCTTTGTTCTGAAGGTTACATAACTTTCTCAATTTTGATAAAATAAGAAAATATTTGGAGACCTGGATTAAATGTGAAGCATACTGAGTTTGATTATACATGAGGGAAAAAGAGGTATGCAAATTCAATTTTTAATATGCCAAGAAATTATTATTCTAACTCTTAAAGATAGATGGATAAAATTATTATAAAAATTAAGAGACAAAAGAGTGAAAGTGAAAAAAGCCAGAATGACAATACATGATTCAGAATGTTAAAGAATGTTTCTAATAATAAAGAAATCCATTAAAGCAACAAAACTGCAGCAATGTAATTTAGAAATGGGAACTATGTAGCTTTAAAAAGTTGGCATTGTTTTTGAAGTGTTGTTAAATAAAGAGGTTCACAAGAATTTTGTCCTTGGGAACAAAACAAGATCCAAATAAATGATATATAGAATAACAACAACAACAATAATAGAGTTGGAAGGGACCTTGGAGATCTTTTAGTCCAACCCCCTGCTCAGGCAGGAAACCCTATACCATTTCGGACAAATGGCTGTCCAGTTTCTTCTTAAAAACTTCCAGTGTTGGAGCATTCACCGCTTCTGGAGGCAGGTTGTTCCACTGGTTAATTGTTCTAACTGTCAGAAAATTTCTCCTTAGTTCTAGGTTGCTTCTCTGATTAGTTTCCATTTACTGTTTTTTGTTCTGCCTTATAATATAGAATAAGATATATGGAAAGCAGGCAGGTGTGTTTTTGTTAAAAGGATGTCCTTCTGAAGGATTCAGAATTGAAAAATAATGATCGAGTCAGGAGTTGATGGAGCAGAGAAATGGAGAGTCAATGAATGTTTAGGTAAAGAAACAAAAGGAGTATCAGGCATGCAGGATGTTTCCATATGGTCTATTGTAAAAACAACATTCATTAACAAGGACAAGCCTTTATATCATACATTTTCTAAGAAATTTTAACTGAACTCCAATCATGCAATATGGGGTTTTGTTCTTTTCACTACATAATTTTCCAGTTGTTCCTAAATAAACTGTATTCCCACACTTACCAAATGATCACAGATAGGCTGAAATGCATTTGTTCCACATACATAGAGCAAAGTATCATTCAAATATTGTAAGACACGAACATAGTTAAGGCACTCTGTCTGTAAAAAAAAAAATTGACAGGAGAGAAAATAAAGAAGGCAATCAATCAAAACCTCTATGTTTTTTTCTTAAAAAATCCAAATTAGTAACACAAATGGCTTTAACTTGTGCACACAGGTAAGTTTCATCTCAACCATCCTGAGCATACTGGTACTATTACAACTGGTTACTAAAAGGATTAGTAACTCTATTACCTCTTTCCCCCCCTTGCTATCTACCTTTTCTTTTGTGCACTAACTTTTTAGACTATAAGTCTAAAGGAACAAATGCTCTTCTTTTTATTATTCTGTTGTTCTGAGAGCTTTTTCAGATGAAAGAGAGTACAGATTATGCTGCTAGGAAAAATAAAACAGCTAAACTACTGTATTAATAACAAACTGCTGCTAGGAAATACAGTTATTTAGATGCTATATCACTGAGCCTATAACCAATTCAATAAACAATGTTCTTTGTATAAAAATCAGTAAAAATACAATAAAAATTTGTTTCATTAATAATTGGGGCAAATAGCCAATATTAAATATAAGGTGCTAGATCAGCGGTTCTCAACCTATGGGTCGCGACCATTTTACGGGAGTCGCCAAACAATGCGATCCACCATTTTCCCCCCTCAGGGGGTGCCGCCGTGCATGTGCGCCATGCATGGGGGCGGCGCCGCGCATGCGCGCCGCATCCGGTGTGATGGGGTTGCCGTCACACAAACGTTGAGAACCGCTGTTCTCCTAAAGAATTTTGTAATAGACTATTAGAATTTTGTAAAGTTGGCAAAAATACAATAAAAAGGGAAGAAAATTTGTTTCATCAGTAACTGGGGCAAATAGCCAATATTAAATATAAGTTTAAAAAGCTTAACCATGGTTAAAATAATAGCCAATCAAATGTAGTGGTTAAAAAAAAAAGTCCTTCAATATATTAGCTCATGTCCATTCCTGTTAGTAATCAAACTGCCTTCCTTGTTTGCTACCATATAAAATTAGGAAATGTGCTATACACTACCCAAATAAGAAAACCTTTCTACCTCAAGTCACTGTGATCCGAGTGTAATTCTCCATATTTGTGGGGTGGAGCTCACATACATGATTTTCAATTTCTTGGCACTCATCCTGAGGCTAGTTATGCTGCCTAATATGCTACCTAGCACAGAAGGATCTAATCCAAATTGGTTTTTTTCTGATATCCTATGTCACGGGTCGGCAACCCGCGGCTCCGGAGACGCATGCGGCTCTTTGAGCCACCTCCTGCGGCTCCGGAGCCTTCTCCGCCATTTTCATAGAGAGAGACAGAGACAGAGAGGCACTTGTGCTTCCCTTCTCTCTCTCTCTCTCTCTCTCTCTCTCTCACACACATGCAGATTTGCCCCTTGCTCCCGATTGGCCCTGCAGCCGGATGCCCTGCCCCCTGGGAGAAGAGTGGCCAGGAAGGGCCTTTCCGGGGCTGGCCCAGTCCGAGGTGCATGTGGCCAGAGAGCCGCGCGGGGAAGCCCCAGGATAGATGCTGGGAGCGGCCCAGCAGAGTCTCTGTTGAAAGGGCCAGCCCTCCCGCAAGCTGCGGCCCTAGTGGGCCAAGCAGGAGCAGAGCCGGAGATGGAGGGTGAGTGGGGAGGAGGGAGGGGGCTTACCTGCACCAGGCAGAGGGGCAGCCGAGCCGGCCTCGTGTCTCCCCGGGCTGGGCAGCAGGCCTGGCGGGGCCAGCGGCCGGCAGGGGCATTGGTTCCTGCCCTTCCCCGGGCCGGGCGGTAGGCCCAGCGGGGGCAGCAGCCGGCGGGGGCATCGGTTCCTGCCCCTCCCCGGGCGCTGAGCCAGCCTCGCGTCTTCCCGGGCTGGGCGGCAGTGGCGGCCGGCAGGGGCATTGGTTTTTGGCCGTCCCCGGGCCGCTGAGCTGACCTCGCATCTTCCCGAGCTGGGCGGCAGGGGCATTGGTTTGTAGCCGTCCCCGGGCCGCTGAGCCAGCCTCGTGTCTCCCCGGGCGGCAGACGGCGGGGATATTTGTTTCTGGCCGTCCCCGGGGCGCTGAGCCTGCCTCGCGTCTCCCCGGGCTGGGCGGCAGTGGCGGCCGGCAGGGGCATTGGTTTTTGGCCGTCCCCGGGCCGCTGAGCCAGCCTCGCATCTTCCCGGGCCGTGCGGCGGCAGGGGCATTGGTTTGTAGCCGTCCCCGGGCCGCTGAGCCGGCCTCGTGTCTCCCCGGGCGGCAGATGGCGGGGATATTGGTTTCTGGCCGTCCCCGGGGCGCTGAGCCTGCCTCGCGCCTCCCCGGGCTGGGCGGCAGTGGCGGCCGGCAGGGGCATGGGTTTTTGGCCGTCCCCGGGGCGCTGAGCCAGCCTCGCATCTTCCCGGGCCGTGCGGCAGGCGGCGGGGGCATTGGTTTGTAGCCGTCCCCGGGCCGCTGAGCCAGCCTTGTTTTTTCCCGGGCCAGGCAGCAAGCCGGCAGGGGCATTTGTTTTGGCCGTCCCCGGGGCGCTGAGCCTGCCTCGCGTCTCCCCGGGCTGGGCGGCAGTGGCGGCCGGCAGGGGCATTGGGTTTTGGCCATCCCCAGGCCGCTGAGCCTGCCTCGCGTCTCCCCGGGCTGGGCGGCAGTGGCGGCCGGCAGGGGCATTGGGTTTTGGCCGTCCCCGGGGCGCTGAGCCTGCCTCGCGTCTCCCCGGCTGGGCGGCAGTGGCGGCCGGCAGGGGCATTGGGTTTTGGCCGTCCCCGGGCCGCTGAGCCGGCCTTGTGTTTCCCCGGGCCAGGCGGCAAGCCCGGCGGGCAGTGGGGGCATCGGTTCCTGCCCGTCCCCGGGCCGCTGAGCCGGTCAAATCAACGGACGTGGAGGTGCTGCAGCTGGCTTTTTGATTCGCCGCAGACCTCCATTGACTTCCATGGGGATTCTTGGCAATGAATGGGGCTGATTGAAATCGCTTCAAGAATCAAGCTGCAGGATGGCTTTGAGTGGCAGAGACACAGAGAGCTGCAAATGATCTCCACAGGAGATGCAGCAAGGGCAGGAGACGAGAAAGAGTCCGCTATGTCTGTGCACAAGCCCCGAAAGCTTTCTTCCTCTCCCTGCCTTTCTTGCTGGCCCTCTGATGTAAGCATCTGCTGGGTTTCCTCAACCTCCCCCCCCCCGTTTTATTTTAATCCCACCTTTCGCAAAATTGACATTCCGAGGACTCGTAGCTCGCTTCGCTCCTGGAGTCACTTGGCAAAGTTTGAAAGAGAGGCTGCCTGCTCCCACCTCCCACGGAGCAGAACTGCTGCTTCCTCGCCTCCCAGCGAAAGAACCCCAGAGAGCTGGAAGGCGTCCTTTCTCCCACTTTCCGCTTCCCATCCTCCCTTTTCCAAGCACCCCTCCCAGAGCAAACCAGAAGCCTCAACTCCAGCCTCCTGCAGCAGGCTGAGATAGGCGAGCCCGAGCGACCGTCTTCTGCTGCCTCAGAACATTCACTGCAGCAGCTCTTTCTCCCCGTCGGCTTCCTCCTCCGCTCCCTTGGAACCTTCGCGCCAAAAGGCAGCAAGAAGAAAGTCCCAGAGAGGGAGAGCGCGGGGTGAGGGGAGAGCAGTCTTTTCCGAAGGGAAGAGAAGCCAGGACTGCAGAGCCGTTCATACCAGAGCTGGATGGGGGGCAGGGCAGGTGCACGTTTCGCCTTAGGCTCCTCTCTTCAATCAAGCCGTGTTCTGTGCGCATGCACGCGCGCGCAGACGCGCACGCGCCCACATTTTGCGGCTCCCAGGTTTTTTTTTTGTGAGGGAAATGGATCCAAGTGGCTCTTTCACTGTTGCAGGTTGCTGACCCCTGTCCTATGTCTATATATACACTATACCAGGGGTAGGCAACCCAAAACACTCAAAGAGCCACTTGGACCCGTTTCCCACCAAAAACAAAACACTGGGAGCCGCAAAACCCTTTTGATATCTAAATGAAGATAACACTGCATATATCCTTTTTTACCTTTATTATAGGTGTGTGTATGTGTATGTATGTGTGTATATATGTATATATATATATATACACACACACACACACACACACACACACACACACACACATTAAAAATAAAAGTAAAAATATGACTCTTGGGAATATCCATACTATTAAAACAATGATCACCAAGAGAATGCTTTAAGAGAATAAAATTACATACACACACAGGTAAAAAAGGATATATGCAGTGTTATCTTCATTTTAGATGTCAAAAGGGTCTCTCTCCCCCTCCCTCTCTATCTGCCCTTGGTCTGCCACTCCTCTTCCCCCACTCTCTCTCTCTCTCCCTCTCTCTCTTTCTCTCTCTCTCTTTCTCCCCCCCCCCTCCTATCTGCTGCTCACCTGGCAAGCTTCAAGCTGTTGTCCAACAACCTCCGGGGTAGGCAACCTCGTCTCTTTTATGACTCATGGACTTCAACTCCCAGAATTCCTGAGTCAGCCTAGCTGGGCTAGCTAGCTCTCTCCTGCCCTTCCTGCTTCCTGCTTCCTTCAGAGACGCAGCAAAGGGAGGAGCTCCGCCCAGTAAGCTTTTCAGCTCCTCGGAGAACACTGTGAGTGCACTCTCTTTTACACATACACACACACACACACAAAACACACACACACACCCAGACACACACACAGAGAGAGAGAGAGAAAGAGAGAAGCAGGGAAGTGCAATTGCCTCTCTCTGTCTCTGTCTCTCTCTGCAAAGGCAGAGGAGGCTGGGAGCCACAGGGGAAGGCTCAAAGAGCTGCATGTGGCTCCGGAGCCGCAGGTTGCCAACCTGTGCACTATACTATATGAACCTACCAAAGAGCTGGCATGTGAAAAATGATTATTGGATCCTCCTTTAATTTTGAGGCTATTTCTTCAGACATCCATACTCTCAACAGCCTCACAGCACAGAGCTGGGAACATTCATTTCAACAAAAGTGAAGGAAGGAAAGAGAGATGCCAATTGATGGATTCCACATTTGTGCTGTTAATCAAAAACTGATGTTAACAGCAAAGGAGAGAATTTTATCATCCTAGTGGGGGGGGGAGAAACACTCCCATTTGGTTCCAAAGCAGCAGATGTAAAGAAGATGCAAACCAAATGCCTGACTTTTTTCCCCAATAGGTTAGCAATCCTTCAACACTAGTGTTTCCAAAGTGTTGGAACAAAAAACCAAGTCTGTATATACACTGGAAGGTGAAGACAACAGATGGAAGCAGTAGCTAGTTTAGGGAGTGGCTGTCCCAGTTTAATACTGTTTCTACCACATTTAAAGAAAAGTAGGAGTATGCTTTCTTAGAAGTACTTTGTGGTCATACATATGTACACAAATATGGCACGTTTAGCATTGTGAGTTACCATGGAAAACTCACTCCATTACTATTTTAGGACCATCTAAAATAAAATTTCTTCATACCAATGCTTTTTTCAAAGTCAAACAGATATGTGACAAACAACAACATTTACTCACCTGTTTTGATTTGCCCTTTTCTGCACATTTCGTTTTCTTGTCTTCTGTTACCTTCCAAAACACCTGGAGGAAAACAGAAGAACAAATCCAAAGGCTTTCCTGATGCTATTGCTCACAGCAATTAATACTAAAGCCAGAAAATAGACAGTGTTCCAAGAGAAACACAAATGAAAATTCAAGACTAAATAGGCACTGTCTTGACAAAAGACTTTCTCAAACATATCTGCCATTCGGGAGCTACGTCAATATAAACTAAACTTAAGCAACAACAACAAAAGGCAAAATTATTACATATTATGTATTCTATTCTATACTGAATGGATTTCTGCAGTGACTCATTATACCCTGAAGACTAAAAGGTCCTTCTCCATGCTTGAAGACATTTCCTACAGTGAATGGGCAATATAAGCAGCAGGAAAGCAATAATATAAAAAGCTACTGTGAATCAAAGACTCAGCAGCTGGAAAATAGCTGACAAGTTCTACCCTATAAAACCATATAGACTGAGGAGTTTTTAAGCTTTTCATATATCTATGTTAGAGTTAGTATGCTAGTAGAATTTCACCAGCAGTATGCTTCTATTCAGAACATCTTTATAACCACAGAAATCTTAATATCACTCTAAAATGGTACTAGGAAGCAAATGTTATTGAATTCAGTGAGTCTTCTCTCTGAGGAAGCATTTGTATGGCTGCATCATTGGTCAAGGGCAGAAAAAACTGAGAACTATAAAACTGCATACCTACCTCTTCCTTTTTTTCCACAATGTTGAATGAATTCAAAGCAAATATAACTTCTCTAGCCCCCACGTACAAAGTATCTCTGTCTTCGTCTAGTAATAAGGTTGAGTAGTTAGATATTTCTGGCTCTTGAAAGTGTACCAGATGAACTTCTGTTAATAAACAATGATTTCAGAACAAATGTTAATTCAAAGCATAGCAATCTTAAGGCAAATATTAATCAAAACAAAGATCTGTTAGATTCTTCATTTTGAGTCAAGCAATGTTACATTAAAACAGCACAATTTACTAACTAGTATTTACAGAAACCTAAGAGGCAAAAAATAACTCAAATATCTAACTGAAATGTGTAATTCAAAGTTATATGAATAAATATGATGTTTGAGAATGGGGGTCTTCCTGAAAAGCAAGCATGAGGAAAATGAGGATTTGATACTGAAAAATGAACCACAAATATTGGAGTACAAATATTAGCGTGCATATTAGGATTAATATAAAGGTCAAAAATCATTTGAGACAGACATTAGAATGCTACTGGGACAAAGCAGTAATTGTTTCTTTAAAGCGTAACATATAACAATTATAAGTATTTGTTCTCTGACCATACTTATTCTTCACAAGTCAAAAAGCAAATATGAAGAGAATCGGATTTCATTCAAATGGTCAAGAGACCAGATCTTGTGACCTGCATTGAAAGATTTCATATATCCAATTTTTTAGATTAGTTTTTGTCACTTTACAATAAGCAGAGAACAATTCTTTACTTAACCATATATTTTTTCAAGGACTTGTTATTCACAGGTTTATGATAAGTAGTTTCAGTGCTGGAATAAAACCCCAATGGAGTAAAAAGAACCACCTATATTAGGTGGAAGATTAATCTAAATAAATAATGTCTATTTATTTTATATGTTACAGCTATTCTTTTAAAGAAGTCTGATTTTTGTTGGTGAGATGGATGCAAACATTTATCAGATTTAGTTTGCTTTAATCAATTTTCCTACTCTTTTATTAAAACTTCTTTACAAATAGTTTGAAGAATCAAGAACTTTAATTATCTGTCTTATTGTTGAAACTCTATTCATATTTTGTTGTTTCACTGAGTTCCTGAATAGCAATATGAATTGTATTCTGAAAGAATAGGGGAAATGAAAAGTCATATGTAACAATGAACTGCCTTTCAAGATTGCCTCCGAAAAAACTGAGGAATAACCAAAGGCAAAGATAAAATGGCAGCATATAATGTTGCTTTCTATACACTGTCACAGTTCCAAGTCTTGTTAGAACCTTCTGAATGGAACTTGCATTCCCATTGATTTCATGTTGGTTTTGTGCCAAGTTCTATGGATATATAAATACAATACTGCCTTGTTTCATCACATTTAATTCCTACCCTTCCATGATGAATGGTTTAAAATAATTAAGGAAACCTCAAATTGTTCAAACTAACTGTATTTTTTAAAGAAAGCTATTTGTCAATTTGATTTGAAAGTGAAGATAAGCAATTTGAAAGAGCTATACAAAAAACTGATCCAACATATAGATTTAAGGGTATGTTAGTTCAAACCACAGAAACTCTATCTTGAATGTAATGAATTTCAAAGAAATAAAACCTGCGCCAGCATTTCAAGATATACTGAGAGGGAAACTCAGGGGTAGATAAGTACAGCTGGGCACCACAAATATGGTGCTGACAGCCATGGAACTTAATGAGGCCACCCAGGTACCGTGTATTGAAAGGAAGAGCAAAGGGCTGAAAATGTATCTCTAAGGGACTACAAGAGATTGCTGAAACAGCTTTCCTTGCAGAAATATTGAATAAGCAATTAAACAAGTAATAAGAACGCCAGCTGAGGACTAGGTTACAGAACCCTTCAGCTTACAGTACATGGTCTTTTGAATAGCAACTATTTGAAAGCAACTGTTTGGCAATGGAGGTAATGTACAAAATGTGTCATTCTTTGTATTCTATTTGAGAACTGCAGTGGGTAGAATAATCCATAGTTCTGGTTTTTCTTTTCCTTTAGAATGGCTTATGAAGCCAACCTTTGAAGTGGACAACTTAATAATGAAATATTTCCTTATGAACCAGATAATGGATTGGACTATCATTATTGCTCAAATGAATATCCACCAATTGGGTTACGTTTATCTATCAAAATAACTTATCACTTGACAATTTTTCCTTAACCAATACAGTAACCAATGTTTACTATATTCATATTGAATTTCTGGGAAGGAAATAAGAATAAAATTCCTTGTCTTATTAAGTAGAAAATATTTGCATTTAACTCTTACCATTACATTAATGGAACTCATCATGCTTTATATCTGTTTGCTTTTACACGTATATTGCTTCTCTCTTTAGTGAAAACAATTATATGAAAATAAGCTCTAAATAGTGAGTTCAGGAATGAAACATTGGTCACTAAGCTACTTGCCCAGCCAAGTTTGCATTCTTTCCTGAATGAACATTATTTCTACTACTGTGTCTTATCACAAAGAAGATTAAATAAGATACACAAATGACCTAAATTAAATTCCCACTTATTTATGTAAATGTCATATTAAAACAGTTTAATGTCATCCGTTCAATGTATTACACAGTACTTGCAAATTTACCTAGTGTTTTTATTTCCATAAATTGTAAAGGTAGGCAAGCAGTATAATTAGAATGCATTACATTTATGTATCATTATCATTACCTGAAACTATTTCTTACCTTTATGTTCCCAGGTAATTCGGGGTACTGGACCTAACGCCGCTGACATTCCAAGATATAAACTCATGATCCCATATAGAACAAGAGCCATGTCAAAGATTTTTGTTCTACAATTGTAGATAAGTAACTATAGCAGCAAAATGTTCATGTGGCAAAAAAAATGCCTTTTAACTTAAAAAGCTTGTGCAAATATAGAAATCCAATTAAATATGCTGTTGATTTCTTGCAAATGTCTATTGGATCACTTCTTCCAACAAATATATATTTGCCACAATGGTGAACAGAAGAAGCTTCCAGAATGAGCCTCAGTAATTCTTCTGCTTCTTAAGCACATGCTTCTGATTAGTTGGACTGGAATATAAAACTGCAGAAAGAAAAGAAAAGGAAGGAATGAAGTGGGCAAAGGTTTTCACAAATGATTTCCAAACTACTCCATTCTTTGTAGTATAGCAGAAGACTGTGATCTTACAAAAGGAAAGACTAGTTCATTTTCAAAAACACTCAGAGGAGAAATTGACAGTAACATTTTCCATGTGGTCTTGTCATTTATTTATGGATAGAAGTTCAATATATTTAGAGACACATTTGCACAGAGGAAAAAGATGTGGTTTTATCTTTTTGCAAAATACTAAAACAGAATAAATCATATATACACACAGATGTTTGAGATACAGGAAGCTTGAGGTATTTCTCTGAAATCTGCACAAATGTATCACAAAATGGTTTCTAAACTACTAAAAGTTTCAAAATCTATCCACAAGATGGTCACACTATAAACATTCTCACAGAATGATTGCCATGGGGTGTTTATGAGTGTAAGCAGTTATATAATGTCCATAAAATTAACGGGCTTGCAAAGACCCATATTTGATCTAATAATGCCACTTATGATCCAGGATATTGTTGGAAATAAATATTATTCCTGAAGCTGGTGCTTTATGTCACAATATGGAAGTTTCCATTCTTTTTTTTTTTTAAATATCCTTTTTTCCAGGATATTGTTAGAAATAAATATTATTCCTGAAGCTGGTGCTTTGTGTCACAATATGGAAGTTTCCATTCTTTTTTTTTTTAAAGGTAGTCCTCAATTTACATTTGTTTAGCGACCATTTGGCATTGAAAAAAGTGGATTACAACTGGTCTTTGCACCTGCGACTGTTGCAGCATCCCATAGTCATGTGATCAAAATTCTGGCCCTTGGCAACCTGCATGTATTTATGAAGATTGGAGCATCCTGGAGTCATGTGATCACCATTTACAACCTTTGCTGATAAGCAAAGTCGATGGGGGAAGCCAGATTCACTCAGTGACCTCATGATTCAATTAACAACTGCAGAGATTTGTTTTAACAACCATGCCAAAAAAGTCTGCAAAACTGGATCGACTCACTTTAATAACCACCTTTAATAACCAACAGTACTGGTTACAATAGTAGTTGTAAATTGAGGACTACCTGAATGCAAGATTAGAAAACATGGTGGGTACTAGGAAACATAATGGTGGACAAATTACCATCCCTGGAGATACAAGTTACAATTAAACCTCTGTGTGCTACATGCATATTAAGGGCTACTTTTGTGACTACTGTGAGTCAAGGCCCTGCAGTGTTAAGATTCTAACTTCATCACATTACTGAGCTGACTGGAATTAGGTGAGATAAAAGCAGTCGTTGTTTTTATGGGAGGTAAGTCTTATAAACAAGAAATACTATCAAGTGAAGTTATTATTCCTCTTTTCACAAGGGTCATTGTTGCAGTTCATAAAATATAGATGTGTTAAATACACATGACATCATCTACTGGAAAAGCCTACCCCTCAACAATGTGTTTTAATATTTCTGTGACCAATCTGTTGTCTATTCAAAGTTGTTTTTATCCATTTCAACATCATATATGTCATATCATACTTAAAAATAATCTCAGAAAATTTACTGAGAATGCAATTAAACATGTACAGAATTGTTGCTTTAATACGTTACTCAGTTATAATTATGTTTCTAGGCAAAAGCATATTCTTCCTTATTTTGTTTGTTCTGGTTCGTTTTTTTTATACCTCCATAAAAGATGAACTAGGAGAAATAACCAGAACAACTAATAAGTACTGTGGTATTGTAGCATACAATGGATATGAGGAGTCACTGAAAGTCAGGTAGCACACAACATTATTACTATTATTGTGATCACCATTGAATCTACTAAGTTAATACGTATATTATACAATCTGCCTTATGGATGCCCAGCCTGACTTGACGATGATTCTGGAACATCAACTGGAGAAAAAAATTCAGAGTTCCACCTTCCATAAAAACATAGGAAAATAACTAAATTGATGTCTCCATATTTTTTTCCAAACTGAAACTAAATCTGCAAGAAAGCTACACTCTTGAGGATAAGACCCAAACTTTATAGAAATTGGTAGAGAGATTTTGAGGAACATTACATTTTTGTGAACCATCCAGACGTGTTTTACGTGTTTTGAATAACAATATATTCAGATCAGTGGAAAATCCAATTAATTCTTTGCTAGAACAATTTAACCAAATCCCACCTTCCATTTTCTCAGGACCAGTAGTAAACCGAAGGATACTGCTAATAAGGATAAGACAGAAAAAAAGACATTGACACTTCAATGTTATTTATAATTTAACATAGTAAAAGTAACAGTGTAATGAAAAAATAATCTGCAATGCATGATAAAACTGAAAAAGCATAGTGGAATTTTTATACTATATTTAAATTTAATTCTGTGGAGACTCAAACCACAACTACACTGTTCTCAGATGCACATTCGGTCATCCTCCCCCTTCTCAACGCAGTTCCTCCCTTCTCACAGGCTGTATATCACCAGTTTTTGTCATCAACCACAGCTGTGGTCCACACATAAGACAGCTGGTTTCTTTCCTTTGCCACATGCAATACACAAAACCAGACTCTTCCTGCCTTCAAACACACGTATAGCTTGCTTAGTAGAATAGAGTGTGATGAGTCCCTCCCTCCCTCTTCATTTTCCATGTGGAGGACAGTATTTGTGTGCATGCATGTGTTGTGTCTCCAAAAGGTTTACTTAATCATCAAGGTGGCATCCTGAGAATTCCTTTAACAAGTAAGCTCTACTGAGCTGGGGGAAAAGAAATTTAGGACTACACTACTCAGCTGCAATACTTTCCTCAGAAGTGGGACTTCTTTGGAAGCAAACATTCATGAGGATCAGGTTAACACAACCAAGCAGGAGAAGAAGGCTGCTTAAGAGGTTCCAGCCTGGCATTTTACAAGAAAAACTATCTGTGCCATCAACACTGATTCACAATATATACCATTCTATATATACATTTTTGCTTTGTTTTTTATTAGGCCTCCTAAGTATTTATGCAATGTGAACAGTTTTCCAGATACAGCTCAATGTCTACAAACTGATATAGTTGCAGATGGCAGCCAAAAAGCCAAATTAATTTGACATAAATTTTGAAAAATTAAAATTAAATTCATCTGATTTCACATGACAAATATTTCCTCATGTGGTAAAACTTACAAATTTCTGGATAAAGATTTAAAAGATCCTGAAACTGCTAGTCAACTACAGAAATGTTCTTTGTGAGAGAAACTTCTCTTTATATTGCTTATGGAAGCAAGCTAAATACAGAAGATATTTACAGGTAACATCAATCTCTCCAAATATTGACATTTTATCCAAAGAAAACAAGTACACCCCAGTCACAGAATACTGATTTATTTTGCAGAACAATATCCCCCCAATAACTATGAAATTCAAGAGTTTGGGGCGAGGGGATTGGGGATAATAGAAATTTAAATGTTGTATTTAGAATGTTTTACTTTTCATTTTGTTGCCAGTTTCTATCTCTAGAGCTTTGCCTCTTGAAAAAATAACAAAATAAGCAGGTTTTGTGGTCTGAAAACCCCTATTCTACTTCCCTGTTTCCACAGAATTCTCAGGGGGTTTTTTTTAGAGTTATTTGCTGGGAGACAAAAAAATATTTTGAAATATACTAAATGTTAATACAGCACAATAGCATAGCTTTCAACACTATCCCTTTACTACTACTAACGAGCACAAATATTGATATATGTTAATACTTCTCAGATAATTATGCATTTTTGTTACATAGATGATTTAGATCACAAACATTTTATATCGCAATATCCTAAAAGTTTACAGTTCTTTAAAATCATGAGGCAACGTAGAGAGAAGTCCTATTTACCTCATCCATGAAACCAGTAGTTGACAAGCAACTCAATGGCAAATTAAGTTAGGAAAATAGCTCACAAATAAATGTTCTTTGTGTGTTTTATTTCTGGAGTGAACCTCTGGGTGAATGTGGAAAAAAATATTGGGATATAAGGAAGAAGATAGAAATATTTTTTTTAATTTATGAAGAAACTGATTATTAATTGGAATAAGGACTTCCTCTGAAGTTGACTATAAGCTTTAAATAGTATGTTTTAGTTTTAATTCTTTGAAAGATTAAAAATTCTTATCTACTATTTTACTTCCTTTTCTGATAGCTATTATTTATTTAATATTTATTTATTTATTTATTTTCATCATCACTGATGACCATATTAATGCTTTATGTTGAAAACTGGGATAAAATGATAAAAAATGTTTTTGGTAACTTTGCATTGATTTGTATTACTTCTAAAAATATTGCTGGCATTAGACAAATGCATAAAATAATACATAAAGCAGTGAACATCAAACTTTCTAAGATAGTGATCACTAAATAAATGTTCAGAAAATGTGAATACTATCCCTTCCTGTTTCTGTTTTTAACAGCAGAGAAATTCATAATTTCTGGTGAATAAAATAATGATTACTGTGTGGCTTCCCATCTTCTTTCCCATTTTGAAGATCTTTTAAAACTAAATTTTGAACCAAAATTATTTTTTAACCTCTTAAATGTAAACTTTGCCTTAGTTTGTGTATATCATAGTTTATAAGCAACTCTACCATGAGTCTTCTCTGCTCAAAAAGAATATTCAATAAAAATCCCTGAACACTAAAACTTTCATCTCAGAAAGACTAGCCAATTCAATAGCACTGAACCCTGGGGCTGAGGTGGATAAATTGAGTCAGACTAATAAATGTGGTAGAGACGGGGCGTTGGTCTTACCTGAACGCCTTTTCTCAGTACGGAGATGGATAATCCACGGATGGGTTTTCTCTGTCTGCCTGCTCTTGAGACCAAGTAGCCAAAGCTTGATACGCCCCCACTTCCTGTGGAGTCCATTCTTAACGAGGGCGAATTGGCTGATGATTGACGAGGTATTGGCTCTCAGTTCCCTACTAGCGGCCTGCTGGCCTTGGGGTGGGTGTGGATTATCCATCTCCGTACTGAGAAAAGGCGTT